TGATTTAACACTGCTGCCCTCTAGTGGTTAAATCGTGTAATGTTTATGATTCATTCAATGATGTAACACTGCTCCGGTCTGTCTTTGTTCATCCTGCATCGCTCTGTTCTGTTCTTTAATGTAACGTTACTGGAGCGACGGAGCCTCTCCCAGCTGTTAGCAGACTGTTGTGCTAGCAAGCAGGCTCGCTCGCGAGCTGTACAGTTCGGCGGTGAAATTTTATAAATGTACAATTATTAGTGTTACAAATTGTTTATGTGTCACAGACTGTTGTGTTTTTCTCTGAGAGCATTAGTTGTGGGTTGTTAATTGTTGTGTTATAAAGTTATGACCATGACTAGGGTTCCCTCTCAATACATATAAGACAACTAGCGCTGACCGCTGTGCATTAGCAGCAAAGAATACATTTAGCTGCCTGTTGAAAGCAGACAGCAGTTGTTTTCGCTATGCACCGGTATAATGGTGTGTGAAGAATTCATATCATACGGGAAATTAAAACCGTATACTGCCCAGCTCTAGTCTTTATTATAGTTTGGGCAATTTTGTACCAATATTTGACGGGCCGGATTAAAAAGCCCAGCGGCCGTAGTTTGCCCATGCCTGGGCTAGCGGCTAGCTGAGTGTCTTCTTCTGCTTATTGTAGCTTGTTAAACAACTGACTGACGCATTACCGCAACCAGGTGGTGGGAAGCTATATTGTAACTGAGCGTCTCATGGAGAACAGTAATATCTCTGGTGTCTTCAATTGATAACCTATGCGGTCCCGCGGCCCTCGCGGCCCACAGGTACAAAACTGAAAGTTTTTTGCGGCCCTCTAGGTGGCGTTCGCGGACCCATCGTGGGCCGCGGCCCCATGGTTAAGAATCACTGTTGTGGAAGATGCCGGTCTGAGGAACGTTCTCAATCTGCGCAGATCGGGCTTTGAAAGTTAGCGGAAAGATTAACGTGAGACAACATCCGGTTTCTTCAGACGAACATCCGGTTTTCAGAATAAGATGCCAACAAAGTATGAATTATATTCACATTCAGTCTAAAATATGCTAACTGCATCTCGTGAGTTAAAGGGAAAATACACCTAAATTGTGCGTAAAGTGTCTTTATTCTTATATTAATGAACAGTAGAGGTGCATTCACATGCTCTGACTGTCATGAAGACAGAAGATAGACATTTTGTTGAAACGTGCTGAAACATGTTATTCCTGTTGCACAGCAGTGGAACGTTTCACATAGTCACACACTGAGCACAGATAGTGAAGAGATAGAACTGCTACTGTGTAAAGAGAATACTGCTGTTAAAAAGCACCTGATGTGTTTAAAGTGTTTGCAAACCAAATGTTATTGCCCTTTTGTTCATATGGCAGTACTTTTAAAATAAAAGTGCACAATACACTACTTTTGAATTAATTATTGAACTTTGCCATAACAATGAGATTAATTGCGATTAATCGCAAAAATCCATGCGATTAATCGTGATTAAAAATTGCAATCGTTGCCCAGCACTAATAAAAACATATCAAAACGAGCAGCAAAATGTTTCACAGGCAGACATAAAAAGAACAAAGAATAGCATACAATGCAGATACACGCACATTTCCACATACATTTATATTTACAAACACGTGAATAAATCCAATTGAGGTCTGTAAACTACAAGTAGCCTACAGATCGGATCTAACAGGAAGCTCCTGTTTCTTTGACTTCCTGTTTATTCTTTGAAGGCGGCTGAAAACTGTCCGACCTAACCGCAGTTTTTTGTCAACGCCCCCTCCTGCTGCTCCCTGCTGCTGCCACCTGCTCGCCTCCACTCTCCAGGCGAGGCGCAGTACACTCGAACGAGCCTATTGGGATTGGGCCTGTATGCTACCTCACAGTCTATGGTACTACCGTGTATGTGTCACATGACTTGTCTCCGCACCTCTCTGCGGCTGCGTCAGGAGGAGAACCGACGGACCCGTCAGGTTGAGGTTGCAGGAGGTTATAAAACACATTTGTTATTAAACTTTTCACACTACAGTGTAGATATCCAGTCAGATACAGAACCATGAATCCTGATATTACGAGAGAGCGGCAAAACGCCACTTTTGACGTCGAGAAACTGACCCACATTTTGAACGGGGGGCCTGAAAAGACCAAAAGACGGCGAGAGATTGGTGAGTTTGAAACGTCTACTTTGCCCGATCGTGCGAGGAGTTGTTGGTCTCGTTACCGCCGACACCGACAACTTCATATGATGATGACAGTCCGGATATTAGCGAAACAATACTGTGGAGAAAAGGGAAGCTAGCGGTTAGCAGATGCTTTCATTGGCTGTTTGCTTATCTCAACCTAATATCATGTTAAGGGGGTATCAATCAAGTTAGTTATGTAAGGGGGATGTGGTGTATCCCAAAGGTTACATTGGCGTACACTGTTCCAATTATGTAACGTTCAACGTTACCGACGTTTGTTACGTTAGAACTGAACTTCACGCGTAAGAGACTGCGGTCAAGTCAGCAGACACTTAAATTGTAGTGCACATATACGCTGAAACTTACGGTAAACGGCACAGATCGGGAGCGAGCGAAGAACTTTGCAAAGTTAGCGGAAAGATTAACGTGAGACAACTTCCGGTTTTCTACAGACGAACATCCGGTTTTCAGAATAAGATGCCAACGAAGTATACATATTGCATAATGAAATGAGATTAAATGAATTATATTCACATTAAGTATAAAACATGCTACCTGCATCTCCTGAGCTAAAGGGAAAATACACCTAAATTGTGCGTAAAGTGTCTTTATTCTTTGATTTGATTTGCTGGAAGTTAATAAGGTCGATTAAGATATTTTACAAAGCAAAAACTCTGAACTGAATTTGTATCTTCAAATGGCACATTTTTTAAATGTTTAAGGTGCTATAAAAATGTTTTTCTCAATAATTCCACACAACGACTAATGCATATATGTTCAGGACAAAAATGGGTAATATCACAATATTTAAGGTGCTACAAAAATATTTTTCTCAATAATTCCAGACAATGACTGATATGTATGTGTTGGGGACATCGTTGACTCCACCCATACTGAATATTAGACATTTTTACTGTCCCAATTAAGAGATATTTCAAATTAAAAGTCATACATTTGTACCCAGAAACAGGTACATTTCTGAATATTTGAGGTGCTATAAAAACTATTTTCTCAATAATAAAAACAATGACTGATGCATATAAGTTGAGCAAATCTCTGACTACACATATACAGAAAATTAAACATTTTTACTGTGGTAATTAAGAGATTTTTTTAAAGTAAATGTCCTACATTTGTTCCAAGAAATATCCAATAACTGAATATTTGAAGTAATTCCAAACAATGGTTAATGTATACAGGTGCATATCAATGAATTAGAATATCATCGAAAAGTTAATTTATTTCAGTAATTCAATCCAAAAAGTAAAACTCATATATGACATAGATTCATTACACACAAGGTGATATATTTCGAGTGCTTATTTCTTTTAATGTTGATGATTATGGCTTACAGCTAATAAAAACCCCAAATTCTGTATCTCAGAAAATTTGAATATTACATAAGACCAATTTAAAAAAGTTTTTTTAATACAGAAATGTTGACCTACTGAAAAGTATGTCTATGTACAGTATAAAGTATGAACTCAGTACTTGGTCGGGGCACCTTTTGCATGAATTACTGCATCAATGCGGCATGGCACGGAGGCGATGAGACTGTGGCCCTGCTGAGGTGTTATGGAAGCCCAGGTTGCTTTGATAGGGGCCTTCAGCTCATCTGCATTGTTGGGTCTGATGTCTCTCATCTTCCTCTTGACAATACCCCATAGATTCTCTCTGAGGTTTAGGTCATTCAAGAATTTGGTTGAGAATCACAAGGAGTGAACTGCGGCTGGAGTCAGTGCTTCAAGAGCCACCACACACAGACGTATCCAGGACATGGGCTACAACTGTCGCATTCCTTGTGTCAAGCTACTCCTGAACCAGAGACGTAAGAAGTGTCTTACCTGGGCTAAGTTGCCTGAGCTAAGTTACCTGGACTAAGGAGAAAAAGGACTGGACTGTTGCTCAGTGGTCCAAAGTCCTCTTTTCAGATGAAAGTCAATTTTGCATTTAATTTGGAAATCAAGGTCCAGAGTCTGGAGGCAGAGTGGAGAGGCACACAATCCAAGTGTCTTGAGGTCCAGTGTGAAGTTTCCACAGTCAGTGATGATTTGGGGAGCCATGTCATCTGCAGGTGTTGGTCCACTGTGTTTTATCAAGTCCAAAGTCAGCGCAGCCTTCTACCAGGAAATTTTAGAGCACTTCATGCTTCCCTCTGCTGACGAGCTTTATGGAGATGCTGATTTCATTTTCCAGCAGGACTTGGCACCTGCCCACACTGCCAAAAGTACCAATACATGGTTTAATGACCACGGTATCACTGTGCTTGATTGGCCAGCAAACTCGCCTGACCTAAACCTCAGAGAGAATCTATGGGGTATTGTCAAGAGGAAGATGAGAGACATCAGACCCAACAATGCAGACGAGCTGAAGGCCCCTATCAAAGCAACCTGGGCTTCCATAACACCTCAGCAGGGTCACAGGCTCATCGCCTCCGTGCCACGCCGCATTGATGCAGTAATTCATGCAAAAGGAGCCTCCACCAAGTATTGAGTGCATACTGTATACGGACATACTTTTCAGTAGGCCAACATTTCTGTATTAAAAATCCTTTTTTTAATCGGTCTTATGTAATATCTAATTTTCTGAGATACGGAATTTTGGGTTTTTATTAGCTGTAAGCCACAGCCTAATCATCAAAATTAAAAGAAATAAACACTCGAAATATATCACACTTTCGATGATATTCTAATTCATTGAGATGCACCTGTATACATCAATCATTGTTTGGAATTGTTGAGGGAATACTTTTTATAACACTTCAAATATTCAGAAATTACCTGTTCCTCGGTACAAATGTATGACATTTACTTTTAAATATCTCTTAATTGGTACAGTAAAATTGTTTAATTTTCAGTATGGGTGGAGTCAAAGATGTCTTGAACAGATATGCATCAGTCATTATCTGGAATTATTAAGAAAACCTTTTTTATAGCACCTTAAATATTAAGAAATTAACTTTTTGAACGTTCAAAAGAAGGACTTATATTTTGGAAAATCTCTTAATTGGGAAAGTAAAAATATTTGATTCTCAGTATTAGTATAGTTAGAGATGTCATGAACACACATGCACTAGTCATTGTCTGGAATTATAAAGAAAACTCTTTATAGCACCTCAAATATTCAGTTATTGGATATTTCTTGGAACAAATTAATTTATGTCCATTAATTTAATGGACATTTACTTTAAAAAATCTCTTCATTACCACAGTAAAGATTTTTCTGTATATGTGTGGTCGGAGATTTCCTCAACTTATATGCATTAGTCATTGTGTGGAATTATTGAGAAAATAGTTTTTATAGCACCTCAAATATTCAGAAATGTACCCGTTTCTTGGTACAAATGTATGACTTTTAATTTGAAATATCTCTTAATTAAGACAGTAAAAATGTCTAATTTTCAGTATGGGTGGAGTCAACGATGTCCTCAACACATACATATCAGTCATTGTCTGAACTTATTGAGAAAATACTTTTTATTACACTTCAAATATTCATTTATTAGATATTTTCTCAATTCAAATGTATGAGTTTTAATTTGAAATATCTCTTAATTGGGACAGTAAAAATGTCTAATTTTCAGTGTGGGTGAAGTCAATGATGTCCTCAACACATACATATCAGTCATTGTCTGGAATTATTGAGAAAACTGTTTTTATTACACTTCAAATATTCATTTATTAGATAGTTTCTCGATTCAAATGTATGACTTTTACTTTGAAATATCTCTTAATTGGTACAGTCAAAATGTCTTATTTTCTCTATGGGTGGAGTCAACGATGCCTTGATTACATATACATCAGTCATTGTATGGAATTATTGAGAAAAATATTTTTGTAGCAGCTCAAATATTGTGATATTAGCCTTTTTTTATCCTGAACATATATGCATTAGTCATTGTGGGGAATTATTGAGAAAAACATTTTCATAGCACCTTAAAAACTTCAGAAATTTGCCATTTGAAGATATAAATTCAGTTCAGAGTTTTTGCTTCGTAAAACATCTTAATTGACTGTCAGTCAGGTATTATTAATTTCCAGCAACCCTCAAATTAAAGAATAAATACACTTTACGCACAATTTAGGTGTATTTTCCCTTTAACTGACGAGATGATGGTATCATTTTTTTTATACTTATTGGAATATAATTCATTTAATCTCATTTCATTATGCAATATGTATACTTTGTTGGCATCTTATTTTGAAAACAGGATGTTCGTCTGTAGAAAACCGGAAGTTTTCACGTTAATCTTTCCGCTAACTTTGCAAAATCCTTCGCTCGCTCCCGTCCTGTGCCGTTTGGTTGCGTTTACTGTAAGTTTCAGCGTATAGGTGCACTACAATTTAAGTGTCTGCTGAGTTGACCACGGAGATCTGAGTGTCTGCTGACTTGACCGCAGTCGTAAGAGGCCGTGCTACTTTATTCATATCCTCTTTAGGCAAGCCATAACATGTGGCTCAGAACAATATGTTTAATTTCAATGTTGACGAATGACAATTCATGGAAAAATGAAGACCACTTTTAAAACCCACAAATAATCACATTTTACAAGCTGCAACCAGAGAATTTTGTATTATTTTCTCAAAGATTAATCGATTCTCAAGTTTCTTATTGAGTTTCTGTCCATTGACTTATTAATGAATGAGTTTGCCAGAACATTCCACTGAACAAACGATTAACATACATTTGATTACAGAAAGCTGAGGGAAGCGAAATATGAACTGACAAAAGACCCTTATCGATCAAGCATATATGATGTATTTGGTCTGAAAATGTGGACTTTGCAGGATGCATCCCCTCCATTGTGACACAGCTGTTTAAGAATGGATGTATTGTATGCACCACAGTTATTTTGTGTGTGCATTGCTATTTAGAGGTAATCTGCTTGTAGCTTGTACGGCCAGAAGTCTGTGATCGTTGTCGGTCTGACTGTGAATGTTGTTAAACAGAAGGAAGTCATGGTAATTTAACTATAAGTCACTGGGAATATAAAGTGATGGCCAATCTTTATGTTTTCTAACAACCTACTGTACTTACTTCTTATCCCACTTAATACACATTTAAATCTTGATACACATGTAACAGACTTTTAGAAATGTCCACTTAATTTGTAATATATGTATTGTGTAGACTAGAGCAGCTGTTTAACCAAAAGATACATTTCTGATTTCATTTCCACTATAGAGTCGATGGTTTTCAGCGACCCGGACTTTAAGGAGGAGGACCCAAACTTCCTGTCCCGCAGTGAGCGCTATGACCAGGCTGTTAAAAAAAGTGCCCAAATGATCCTGAAGCTCAGAGAGTATGGCATTGCAGACCCAGAGGAGATCTACTGCTACAAGAAGTATGTGGTAAACGAGTCGACATGTGAGCAAACTATTATGACCTCGGTCAGGTATACGCCAGTATCGAAGGTTTAACTGACGGATACAAAGTGGCATTGCCAGTGATAGTTTTCACGTACCAAAGGTTGTCATGATGCAGCTCGGGCGGTGTGATATGAGAACAGCCATTAAAAGTGGTGGACCATTTGAACATGATTTTGCCACCAGTTCCATAGCTGTCCGATAACTGTATCCAACAACTAAACAGCAGGGTGCTTGAGACATTTCCTGTGGACATGTGTCATGTATTAACCAACGATCTGTGTAGCTGTGTGTGGCCATTGAATGCAGTTGGAGCAAAGTTCAAGTTAAGATTAAAACTGTGTCAGAGGGTACAGTATGCAAGGTCCCAGCTTTCACTCGCTGCACAACGTAATGCAGTGTAATAGATAAATTTATTTTGTTTTCTTTTTAGGTTTTTCTCAAATTTTCAGTGTGCACTCCCAAGCTTTCTGTCAGCCTATATGATATGATATATACATGTTTTTCAAAATTATCATTTTAATTGTGGCTGAACGTTGGGATAGGATACGTATATATGTGGATCAGATTACTACTTCTTGAGCTGTCGGTCCCAGTAGTAATGTGATTGTTTTCCAGAAGGAAACTCTAAAAGGTATTGTTAAATATGACAAATATGCTTTATCCACTCCAAGTGATGAAGTACCTCAACTGGAGACTTTTATTTAATCTGCAAGGCGACAGAGACCAGACATGTTACTAAATTGTATGTGTGTGATAAACTTGACCTCAGCCATAGCCAAAGTGCTTTTTACGGCACAAGTCAGCAAATGCATCAGTTACATAATGTCGGAGTAACGGCGAATCTCAATTTAAGCTGTGTATCCTAAATTTTCCTGTCACCCAGTATGGTGAACGGCAACCAGCATGAGGCCTTGGGGCTACACTTTGTCATGTTCCTCCCGACCCTGTACAGCCAGTGTGACCCTCAGCAGTCCAAGAAATGGATACCTCTGGCAGAGTCCTTCCAGGCCCTGGGCACATATGCCCAAACTGAAATGGGCCACGGTCAGTCCTGGACTTACCCCTGAACTTATTTACTTGCTTGTTGTTGTTGTTGTTGTTAAAGGCCCTCAAACACAACTTAATCGTGCTGTTTATGAAATAGCACAAATTGGCATTTGTGTTTTTAGATATTTAGCCAAAATGATATTTGGGGCCGGAAAAAGAGGCCCGTTACCACAGGTTCGGAGTTCCAAGAGCAGCTCTGGTGATTTCTTTGTACGTGTTTGACAGACCCAAATCATGTAGAAAATTAAAAAAGTAGTCTCATGCACATCCTGACAATTGTGTCCATACGTTACATTTTGTTCTAACAAGATGTGATGAATTGTGGCTAGTTAAGAAGGTGTGCTGCAGCTTCGTTACTAACAACGCTCCTCTAGTGGTTGTCCCTTACACCCTTTAGGGTTAGTAGTAGCTTAATAAAAGATAATTGTAGTTTTGTCTCGTCAAAAACGTATTCCCATCTACATTCAGGGATCCTACTGCTTTCTTCCTCACAACTCTCCCATCTTAATTTCATGACAATGCACTGATGGAAAATAATCAAGACACAGTAATCCAAATGCACACGAGCTTCACCATCACTTTTTGCAATTATGCAATCTGGTCTGTCTTTTGTTTGGCTGTTGATCTCTGGAATGTTGAAGAAGTTGTTCTGGTGTGTGAATTAGTAGGTAGTGTAGACTTCATGCAATCTCTCATCAACAGCAGGTGGACATGTGTGGTCTGGGATCCCATAATGAGGCTGAGTTTTAGCTTCTCAATGTCTCTTTGTAATCAGAGAGAATGTAGGCCGTGCCAGCTGTTGTTTGTTGCCTTGCTGCAACAAAGTTTAATGGATGCTATTATGAATTAGTGGTGGATCTGCGCAAACCTACACTGAAAGTTTAGACCCGATGACCCCGTCTTTAATGGACATTTCGTTTCATTTAGTGTTCTAGCAGATTGGAGCAACACTTGTCCAAATCCAAGTGTATCACTTATGTCGTGACTTGTGACTTAATGTGGCCGTGGTCACTTTTCTAGAGCTACAACTAACAATTGTATTCGTTAGCATTTTTTTCTTTTAATAGACTTAATTTTAATGTCCAAAATATCCATCTCATGTTCTCTAAACATGTGTGTTGACTAAAGTGCTGTACATAACTGAGGTATTCAATCACACGTCAGCAGGGGAACTTTTTTGTTGCAGCTTCTAAAGACAGATCTAAATCAGTGGAGTTTCAAGCCAAATTGTGACGATGTGATCAAATCAATATGCATGATATGCTCAAAAGCTGTTTTAATTTGTCTTCACTGCTTTCCTGCACAACCTCTGTCTTTATCTCTTCCATCGCTTCTTCTTCATCTGAACCATATCAACTCTTACCCACAATCCCTTCTGTGGATTTTTGGAAATACTTAATCCAACATCCTCTCCTCCATTAATCTGCATTTACATCTCCCTCCTTGCCCTCTCCGCATCACCACCTGCTTCTCTTTTCCGTTTGCCCCTGTCCTGCGTGGCCCTAGCTGTGTGCACCCGGACAGGCCAGAGCCCTTGGATCTCCATCTGGGGATGTTCCTGCCCACACTGCTCAACCAGGCCACCCCAGAGCAGATGGACCGTTTCTTCATGCCTGCCTGGAACCTAGAGATCATCGGCACCTACGCTCAGACTGAGATGGGCCACGGTAAAATGAACAGCAGTCCAAAATATCAGGCCTGTTTAGGCCAGTCAGACAGGGATTATTTGGTTACTTTATTACTGGCAATAGACCCCAGAATTGTTGTGTAATGACATTGTTTACATGTAGGTGCTACATTTTTAGGATTGTGATAGTTCTCATGCTTTAGTTACATCTAATGTTGACCTTATTTGTACTAGTTTGTATTTATACTAAAACTTCCACGAATAATAAGAAGGTTTATTGTTTGCGTGACTTGCAGGTGTTTTAACATCTTCTCCATTATTATTTTCCTTTTGTGTTGGATAAAAATGAAAATTAACTTGATGATGAATGCAACCAAAAGTAGCTCAATTATTTGATATGGTTAAACATATTTATACAAATCTGACCACTTGTGTCAGTTGACCCACTGGACAAGTAAAAAGTTATCACAAGTTTGT